ATATCAGAGGTATTTTCTAGAAAGTCATAGAATGAATTTACGAAAATTCATCAGGATTTAATCCTTATTTTTTAAAATGTGATATGAATTAACAGGTAATATGATTTTTACATTCCTGTGAACTACAGATCCACTGTATCATTAAATATGTCTTCAAGATAGAAAAATGCTAGCAGTCACTGGACTATTGCCTGCAGATATTGATCAAGTGAGCATGAACAAGCTGCTCAGGAAAAGCAGTCATCTAAAATGTGACATTGCCGGTCTTGTTAAAGAAGATATGTTTAGAAATTGCTTAAATGAGCCTCTACTTCAGAGGCAAAGGGAAAGAATAGAAGACTGAGGGAAACAGGCTTTCCATTCCTCCAAGGCATTCCAGTATTGGAATATTTTGTTATTGTTGTTGTCCCAAATACAAATGAAAAACTAACAAGTATATTATATGTATTTTTAATATATATGTATATATAGGTGTGCATAATAACACAGTTTCAAACTTCCAACAGTGTTAATTGGAAATATTTCAAAATGTTTTATTCCTAAATTTGGGGTTAGTTTATCATTAAATTGAATTTTAGAAGAGATCTTTCATTTGGTGTCCTGATGTCTGTATTTTTCTCTTGTGGGCATTTTCCTTGGCCTGAATACATTTTCCCTTATGCATTTCCAGTCATATGATGCCTATGACACACCACTTTGTTTGGTTATAGGTGAGTCTCAACTGCAGTGAGGTAACTCTCCAGGAAGTTCTGCCTTCAGCCCTGAAGCCTCGCAAGGCACTGGGCCAAGACAAAATGCACAGTTCAACACTGACTGATTAGAAACAAGTATTTCAGATCCAACCCCTACTTCCCCCCTCACCAAAAAAAAATCTGGTTTTTCTTAAACCCACCCAGATGGAAACAATCTGTCTTCATTTTCCTAATAGGAAATAAAATTTCAGCAAAATTGAATTTCTCAAAAAAAAGTTGTCTTTGTAGAAATTTCATTTTCCATGAGAAAATAAAATCATTCTAATGGAAAATCCTCTGAATCATCTGGAACAGGGGAATCTTTTGCTAGTGTTTTATAAAGATTTTTACAATGAACTCTACAAAACAATGATCAAAGTAAAGCTTACAAAATATTAGTTTTTAAAAGATTACGCAAGAAGAGAAATGCAAAATACCCCAAACTCACAAAAAACCCAAAAGCCATAAAAATGTACTCCTACAGTTAAAATGAGAACCGAGCATCCTAGATAGCATCCCTCAAAGCCTCTTCAGTCAGCAATGGCTGGAGAGATGTTCTGGCATAGGCAACTTGCAGTACTCAGCAGTCATGCATTCATACTGGGTCAGTAAAGTCTAGAATGTGACATCTTCCTAGATTTCTGTATAAGAGCAGGGCTTTCAAGAAGTAAAAGAAATAAAATTGACAAGCAATACACGTGTCTATACAACAGGGCAAAATGAATGGCTAAGTTCTTTTGAGAATGAAATAACAGTGTAACATATATATATGTACAGGCTGTATTTTGATCTTAATGCAAGTTTTTAAACAGCAGGAGAACCTTCTGATATTCAGTGGGAATGCAAAATACGTATAGCATGCTACATCTAATTTCTGCTGCCTTGGTACGAAATAATAAGCAGCAAACTTCTTTTTATTCAATGCCTTTTTTTCTGGATTGGAAAGGATGATGTATCTAAGATCAACCATACCTGCTCATATTGGAAGTTCGCCTAGCCCAGTATGCTGTTGCATACTGGCCAAAAGGAGATTTTTAGGGAATAGTTTAAGAACGGGGAAAGCATACAGTGATACTTCCCTGCAGTCGCCTCCCAGCTCCAAATATTCATCTGTGAGACAGAGGTGATATTTTAGTATTTTCTCTGCCTAGATAGAGTTCTCCTCCATGAACTTGCTTAATTTTCACTTGACTGATACAAGTTTTAGTATTCAAACGCTCTGAAACGTGAAGTTCCCCAGTTTAACCCCTCTTGTGTAAAGAACCATTTTTAAACACCTGCCAGCTGCTATTTCATTTGATGGCCTCTTCTTGTATGGGAAAGGACAAGGAACAGCCACTCTTTATTCATACTGTTTCCCAGGAAAATCTTTAAGATGTCATATCAGATCGATACACACTAGCAAAATAGCAGCATGAAACTCACTTAACCTGCTCAAATCAGGTGGCATCACATTGAAGTCAGTGAGGTTACAAAAGCCCGGTCTTGTCCAATTATCATTCCAGTTAATACAAAAATAGGATTGTTTCTCCAATACCTGTCGCTGATTTTCTGTCTCTAGTCTCAGTCTGGCTTCTACACATCTTCTGGTCTCCAGGAAGGCTTGACGTTGTGCTCTGTCTGATAGGTAGCTAATGAAGATTCCTGCGGTGTTCATACACATAAATAACACTGCCTGAGCCGCTATCTGCAACGAACAACAAATAGGATTTCATCAGACAAGAGAAGCAAAAGTATCTGTTTAAAAGAGAAAGAGAGAGAGCGAGAGAATGACTGCTCTGCAGTCATGTAGGCTGTAAAACTAAACCATTAGGAAAGTTTGCATAAAATAATCTCTTGGATCTTAATTAGAGGCATCAAACGTGTAAAATTCTCTCTGCCTTGAGGAAGAAATATGCAGTCTTTGGGGGCATTAAACTCTAGTTGAACCACAAATGATGTTTCCAAGAACTGACTCACAGGGCTGTAGTCAGGAATGATTACAAACATAATTAACAATTTGTTTTTTCACTGCCTCTTCTGTAAAAGCAACTTTGTGATTTGTTCCATGGCTTAGTTTGAGAACAAAGCCATGTTAAGGAAAAAAAAGAGTGTCAATTAGCTAAGAATTAATATCAGTGATAATAGTTATTCTGTTGTTATTGACCATATTAAATAAATTCATTTTCAACTGATGCCAAAGCACAAGCTTGCACAGTCTGAATCCTAAAACATTCAACAGGGGAAGCTGAAAGGATAACCAAATGCTTGCATAGCCTGTGCCTGTGTACACAGACCTTTTCTTCACTAGTGCCTACGTAAGAGCTGCACTCTTTTTCCTTGTAGAAAGTGCGTCACAGTTTCTTCCTTTACAATATGAACTTAAGAGAGCCAAATGGGAGTGGATCCTTGGACAGTGTAAATTGAAGTGGCTTATTTGTCTTTCATTGATACCTCTTTGTGCTCTGTATGTTTTTAAGGCAGAGCACATCAACACCATTGAAGTGAGGATTGTTTGGGAAACCAACTAAGAAACATAATATTTGCATCTACTAGAGACAGAACACAGACCCGCAGTTTCAGCAGCTTTATCCAACACCTCATCCCTCCAGTATGTTACAAATTCAGGTGAACTCCTCTCAGTTCCTACTTATAATCATAGAATCATAGAATCATTTAGCTTGGAAAAGACCATTGAGATCATCAAGTCCAACCATTAACCTAACACTGCTAAGTCCAAAATTAAACCATGTCCCTAAGCACCACGTCTGCACGTCTTTTAAATACCTCCAGGGATGGTGACTCCACCACTTCCCTGGGCAGCCTGTTCCAGTGCTTGACAAACCTTTTGGTGAAGAAATTTTTCCTAATATCCAATCTAAACCTCCCCTGGTGTAACTTGAGGCCATTTCCTCTTGTCCTTTCACTTGTTACTTGGGAGAAGAGACTGACACCCACCTCGCTACAACCTCCTTTCAGGTAGTTGTAGAGAGCGATGAGGTCTCCCCTCAGCCTCCTTTTCTCCAGGCTAAACAACCCCAGTTCCCTCAGCCGCTCCTCATAAGACTTGTTCTCTAGACCCTTCACCAGCTTTGTTGCTCTTCTTTGGACATGCCAAATTCTTCATTCTGCCTTTTTTAAACTTGTGAAGGGGTCAAGAGTGAAAAATAAGTCCAGAAGTCACTAATATTCCTCATAAGCAGTATGTAGGGTGAAACTGCTCTGACTGCTACCTTAGCTAGCGAAGCCATCGGGGCACAGTGAACCAGCTGAAAGTCTGCAAACTGCAGCTCCCCGTATTCCTGCCAAGGTCCCGTCACAGCCACTGTGCTGATGAAGTCCCCCTGAGTGCACCCTGTCTTGCAGGATCACGCCTCTCTCCCAGTGGCAAACCAGCCATAGGGCAGGCGGGGGCTACATGACCCTGTGGCCACATTGCCCACCCAGCAGAGCTGTCCAGGCTCTGACAGCTATGGACCGTAGTGCTATGGGTGATACCTACAGGATCATAACAACATCAGAACAGCCATGCCAGGACAGATCAAGTGTTCATCATTCAGGATCCTGTCTCTGATAGCAGACAACAGACAGTGCCCAGGTAGGAGTACAAGGATAAAAAAGTAGATACAAATACAAAAATAAAGCAAGCATACAGTGATGTTTTGTCGAAACAGTCTTGAACACTCCGGCAATCTGTGGTTGCAGAACATTGTGAGCTAGAGGTTGCATTTCTGTAGTATTGTCTGATAATCATTCTCCCTAAAATCAAAGTGTTGCTTGTCCTAGTAGAAGAAAGAAAACATTTAGCAAAACTCCTTAATCTCACTGAGATGCTGTGCCTCAGATCTGCAGGTCTCGCTCCTCACATTCATGTGGGTTTGAAAGTGAGATTTGATATCAAACCAAATGCATCTGCAGAAACTTCAGCTTTATATATTCCTGTATTTCTGAATCTGGAGTATTGTTCTATGATAGTACAGGAAATTCATTTACAATTTATATGCCATGATTAGATAAGAATGCATATCCTGGCTCCAGCTGAAGTTTTGTTTAACCTTTGCCAGTAATAGACATCTCGGCAAAGCTTGTGAGAAATAGGGCATGATTAGCATGATCCTTGCGTCTTCCTGGCTTCCAGGACCCTGTGGTTTACAGCACCTCTGAGCTGGAGATGGCATGCTCTCTCTGCCCGCTTTTTCTGATACCTTTCTGAAGTTAATTGTACCTTTGGCCCCCATGGCATTCACTGACAAAGATTTCTACAATTTAATTAGGCACCTAGTGATAAAAATGTTTCCTTTTGTTTGCTTTAATTCACAGTCTTATCATTTCTTTGAGTGCTGCATCATGCTTATAATATGAGAAACAGTGACTAATCATTCCCAATTCATCTTCCTCTCACCATTCCTGATTTTACTGACTTATAGCATTACTCCTCTCAGCCTTTTATTTTTTAGTAGGGAGGAATTTGAGACTATTCAGTCTCAGTGCATTTGTCATTATTCCACCTCTGCGGTTACTGCTTTTTCCCTGTTATCTACCTTACCCTGTTTCACTGGAGACAGAGTGCCCCGCACCAGCCGGCTTCCCCCAGACACTTTCCACCTTTGCTCCAAGATGAAACAGAGAATGCAGTAATTCAGCCCATGAGATAACTCCTTTCTGGTGCAGGCTACTAAGAGCCATATGATGAGCTGACATAAGATAAGACCAGTTCA